CTTTCCCTGTCCTTGAGTTTCCAAACTAGAAGAGCTCAACTACTTGGTGAAAACCAACCTTCCCTCACTTTCATTTCATATAGAAGAAACTCAGATATGGAAAATACTTTTAGAGTAGAGGAAGCTCCAGGTTTAGGCCTTCAAAGGTTGTGCATATCTGCAAAAAAGATTCAGAGAGGAAATCAGGAAGAAGCTAAGGCTTGAATAGCAGGGTTTGAATAGAGCACAGGAGCCGGCTGGCTATTAGTCTGTTGATTATCAAAAGAAGAACATGACTGACACCCTCATACGTCCACACAAGAGCAATGTGGTTACTACCCTGCAAGTGACTACTTGAGATGGCACTTTCCAGAAGGGGGAAGACCATTCAGCATTAGCATGTGTTGTCAATTTATGGAGTGTCTTTTTCTGAAGTTTTACAAAGTTAGGCAAGGTATCTGGGGAAGAGGGTTGGATGAAATCCCGTCTACATAGAGGAAATGAGCATGTAACAGTTTCGGAGAATTAAGTACCCAGGAAGCCCTAACAAATAAAGCACAGGACCAAGATTGTGGGAAAAAGAAACTATATCCCATTCTCTTTCAAAAAGAAAAAATGAGGTGAAAAGGAAATTGCCTTTGTCTCTTACCATTTGCAGAGCAAAAAGAGAACACATTGTTTGCATCTACAAGGACTCCAAGATACTATCAAAAATTATCAGTTTGTGGGTCACAGTTCTTGCCAGAGTAACCTAATTGTCTTTGACTCACTTTTAATCTACGTGGATGTGGTGAGAATGGCTGATAGTGCTTAACAGCATTCAGTGTTGGTGTTAAATATAGAAAATTCACAAAAAAGATTCATATCTACAGAGGGTGGAAAACATGGTTACATATGATGAAAGAGTCAGAGAGAGAGGAAGGTGGGAAATGTCTCCCTTCCTGCCACATATTTCATTTGTGAACAAAGCTCGCACTGGCTTCAAAGGGATATCTATGCCCCAAAGCAATAGTTATGTGTGTGGTGAGGACTGAAAAGCAGGTCCATTATGAATAACATTACCCCAAAAGAAGGTAGTGATGGAAAAATGACACACTATTCAAAACTGAAAACAGGATAACTAAATATTGTTACAAGGGGCAAAGACAATCAATTCTGAACATATAACCTTTAATGTAGAGAAGAAAGACTGGGAACAAAAAAAAAATCACAAGAAAGAGCTTTTTTTTAAAGATAACCATTTTATGACTTTAATGTGCAATTTTCTGTGACCCTAATTCTTAGACTAGCTTACATATCAGTTGGATCTTGTTAATATAGTTGAAGATGAAAAGACACATTGGTGGTCTCACTTCTCATAAATGTACCATAAGATCATTCACCTCTAAAAAGAGATGAAGGAAATAAAGGCATTTACACCAAAATATTTAAAGACTTCCCACATCAACATATTACGTAAACAACCATTGGCATTGCTATATATTGGTGTTTGTGTCAACCAGAGTTGTTAGAGCAGATAAGCTCTAACACAAAAAAGCAATCACTGTATATCCAGTTTTTGAGGAAACAGTGCTGTTGGTACTTCAACAAGTATATCCCTTAAACATCCTTTGTTAAATCAGATCTAAAATTTTTGAGTTGGAAAATTTTATCAGATTATACACCAAATCAACTATGCATTTTTGTCATACTTGCTTTACTTGTATACACTTTATATACAGACAAACTTACTGATGTTATTGAGTTGATGATTTGGGTTAAATTTAATTTTTTCTCCAGAATCTAAGAATATTCAATTAAGAACAACAACTTTTAATAAACAAATGCGGACTATGTACCTGGCTCTAAGCTCAGGGAAAATAATTGTGAAGTTGTTAAAACCTTGTCTTGGTCCAGCAGGAGTCTACAGTCTAGAAAGAGATCCATAGAGGATAAAGCAGAAACAGTACAAAGTAGTTCAAGAATACAGAACAGACAGGTCAATTTCTTCTTGGAATGGAGGCTTGAGTTGCCTTTGAAAGACAAAGTCAAGTTGAGAGAATCAGTATAATTTCAACAGATATGGCGGCCAGGGAAGAACCAACATTTCACATGATTTCACATGTGACTCAAGACAAGAAAACACAGAGAGAACTAATCAGAGATTACTAATGAGGCTGGTGTTTCAGGAGTATGCACTGCTTAGTGAGAGGTAACTACCAGGCACTTGGGGCTGGATAGGTGAGGTCCCTTATCTATGGTGCTAAATAACCTGGACTTGAATCAACAATCAAATGGGAATCACTAATTTTTTGAGCAGATGGATAAGTTAACTAAATGGGAATGTGGGGACAATTGATTTGGTAGTGGATCTTACAAGATAAATGGAAGAGAGAGAGATAAAGATCAGTTTGACTAAGCACATAATCTTAGAAATAGGCAATAAAAACTTGAATTAGGGCAGTGTCAGTGGGGAAAATGGAGGTGAGTAGAAGTCAAAGGCACTGGAGAGGGATAAAGAATAAGACTTTGTGACTCTCAGATGTAAGGAGCAATGGGTGAGGGAACTAATGACTCTGAACCACCCTGGGGAGCAGGAAGGATGGCGATGTCATGGGTAGCGATGGCAAGGAGCCTATGATTCTGCTCCATTGCACGATCTAATTTCTTTGCCCCCATTGCAGTCAAGCCCCAGCAAACAGTGCTCCATCTCTGAGGTCCAAAAATCAAATCACATTGGGAAATCTAAGTCCCTCATTATCCCACAAATAATAATCCTCAGAAGATGTTTGCACTGGCATGTTAACAAGTGTCAAGATTCTCTAACTTTCCAAAAACACTTGCTCTGAAAACCATGCTAAATGTACACCTTGAACTAGACTAGATAATTTTGTGTCTGACTATCCCTCAAATTAAGGTTCAATTAGAGAATCTGACCTGAGCATCAAAAGGCTATTATGAAATTCATGTTTCAGTCGCTTCCTCTTCTTGTATCAGGCAACCCCCAGTGGTAACCATGATGTCATACTCTACCAGGGCATCTCGCCAGTAGGGGAAGGAAGTGGACAGTGACAGGTAGGCAGCAGAAGGTTGGTTAATGACCTATGCAAAAGTAATAGTTCAGGACAAGCAATCAAAACAGAGAGATACTCATATAGAGAACAAACTGATGGTTGCCATAGGGGAGTTGTGGGGGGAGGGTCAAGTAAGTGAAATCACAATTAAGTCATGATGACGAAGAGTATACAGCACAGGGAATGTAGTTAGTAATATTGTAATGACTTTGTTTGGTGACAAATGGCAACCTCACTTAGTATGGTGAGCATTTCATCATGTAGATAATTCTTGAATCTGTACACCTAAAACTAATAATGTTGTATAATCAACTATACTTCAATAAAATGTAACAGTTTAGAGTAGTTTAAATGTTAAAAATAGTAAACCAAATTAAAAGGAAAATGGAGTTAAGCAATAGTATAGATCCCCACTTGGGTGGAGAAGTCAGTGTAGGCAACATGACAGAAAGTTCCTCCAGGTAGCCAGAAATATTTAGCCAAATATATTGACCATGTCTCTCTCATAGTTTCCAAAATACACTTAAATATGAACACAATAAGCTCTTTTTAAATTTTAAATCTGGTTCTAAATTCTTGTAAAGACATTTACAATGTGTTTCTAACTATACTTAATGAGTGTTCTAACTATACTGAGGCCAAATAGGGAAGAAAAGCAGAGTGCTGGGAGCTTGGATGAGCCAGTCAAAACCTCTATGAGGAAAGAGCACAGGCAGATGTGCATGGTGGGGGGAATGGATCAATCCCAGGGTCCAAGTCGGTCTGATTCCTGGTTACCAGTTCAAGTGCTGTGGCATCAAGAGAAAGCAGATGTGCCAATGTCCAGTGAGCAGAGGAGGCTCCGTGAGAGCTGCCTAAGAAAACCAAGTGTGAGAGCATGGAGGGCAGGACAGAGGGAAAGAAAGAGAACAAAAAAGACAATTAGGACATAACAGGAGTGGGTTCTGAAATAAATTCTGTGAACAGGGCCTTCCACCCTGCCTTCCCATCTCTCTTACACATGGCTTACTTCTCTTGGCTCGGCCAGGAGATGTGTCATTCAATACCAGACCTCAGTGGGCATTGCAGACCTAACGCTCAGTACCGAGGGCCGCATAAATACTCTCCATTGTTCAGGGCCGGCTCTGATAGGCATCTGTAATATTTATTCCCACAAAACCTAAGAGCAAACAAAATGTACCCTTCATACTCAGCCCTCATCTTTTCAATCCTGAGTTTCACCTTCATACCGATTTAACCACTGCCAAACAAGCAAGGTTTTTGAGCAATTCAGGTGAGTTTCACTTGAAAGGGGAAGGGCCTTCTGCGTGGACTGTAGTCCCTGGAGGATGCACAAATTCAGCGCACCTGCTCATACGAAACTGAGCACACAGCACCAGCTCATTTCCCCTTCACAATCAAAGCGGTACTTCTCAGAAACCTATGGATGGGGAAGGCAGCTCAAAAGCAGCTGCTAATTACCCCCAAGGGGATCCTTTTATAAGCACCTTTTCTAGCAATCGCTAACAATTGTCGCTGGTGAGACTTTACACCCTGTAGCCTACTTTGAGATATTGGGGAGCATCTTCGTGAGCCTAAGCCACTGTGTCCTCTCCCTCATTAGCCCAGCTCAGTGCAGACAGCTGCCTCCTCCTAACCCTGATTCCACACTTCAATTTCCTGGGTATTAATTGAGAATCTACTGTATATGCAGCTATCAGATTCAAGTCTAGACAGCAGAGGGATGAGCTTAAAATGAAAAGATACTTGTGACAAATTGTTTTTTTCCAAAAATGGCCTCATCAAGACAGCCCATCCCACAAATTTTCCTCATTCAGTAGTTTTTGAGAGGTGGGTTATACATACATTCTCCCCCCTTGAGTCTGGATAAGCCTGTGGTAAGCCTAAGTCTGAGACATCCGGGGGCATGTTGTGAAAGAAAGAAAATACAGCTTTTGTCCAGTTGCCATCCTCTAGCCTCTGAGATACCTTAGCTGATGCTGAGTGGAACAAAGATGGGAGGTTCCCACGGAGCCTTGCCCAAATTGCAGATCTGTGAGCAGAATAAATGTTGCCATTAGTCTAAGCCACAAAGTCTTGGGGATCATTTGTTACTTAATAGTAGATTTCCAGAACAGCATCCCCCAGGGTGTTTGCAGTCAATTCAGAGAAATAGGCACGTTCACAAATGACTGTGTATGTCAAGGTGTAACACAAGTGCCTTAAGAGACCCACAAACTCAAATGAAATGTATGCATATGTCTTCATATCCTGGTTTGTACATAGATAATTTCTAAACACATTAAAAAATTGTAACAGTTACCACTGTGCAGTAGTCCTTGGATATAAGGGAAGGAAGGCTTCTTTTTGATTTTTTCTATGCTTTAATTCTTACTTTATACATGTACTTACTTGTGTAACTTCAAAAACTGTTTAAAGTTCTATAATAATGGAAAAATCAATGGAGAGGGAAAGAGCTAAACAGGGGCTGCAGGTACCCCATGAAGACAGGTTGCAGCTAAGCTACTGGGAATAGTCGCCTTTCCTTTCTCTCTCCCTTAGTTTTCCCGTCTGTATGAACTGGTACCAACCTCACAGGGTTTCTGTGAAAATTAAAGTGCTGTCAAAGCATCTGCCAAAATGCTAAGCACTCAATAAATATTAGTAAAGGTAGCCAAGAAATCCTGAGCTGCTTAGCGCTGGCACGGCATGTGGACACAGGGCCCCAAGTGGCAGAATCAGGCTGCTGCTTTAAAAAGAAAGATATTCTCTCTCCTCCTTACGCAATAATAAGGGACCAGCATTCTTAGGTACAATTATAAGAGGGTGTACACAATGGCTTTGATAACAATGTGAGAACTTCTGCAAATGCCACATTGACTTATATTTTGCAAAATGTTGAAAGACCACTAAATGTAAACCTTCCATCCCACTTCCCCATTCTGCTTCCCCTTTCATGGTTTTCCTTGGGTGCGACAGGCTGTCTGCGTATTACAGATGACTGCATTCCACAGGAGGCCAAGATGACTGTTCATTCCACTTTTGCATCTAGGATTTAACTTCTCCCTGTATTTTGAAACTGGGCTTTGTCTTAATTGTGTTAAAGGGCCACGGACCTTTCCATTTGTTCTCGTACTTAGTTTTCCCATTCAAGTTCTCCAGGATGGGTAGGTCACCCAAAAGAGGGACTGGGGTAGGTTTACCTCTTCTTCCCCAAAGTACCCCATGTTCTACAGAGCTTGTGAACACATGACCTAGTTCTGTTGGTATGAAGGGTTGGAGTTGTCTAAAGGGAAGGGGACGGTGAAGTTGCCCATGAGATTACATGATGTGAGAGCGAACCATAGTATTTCCACGAGCAACAGGAGTACCCTCTTAAGTTTTGCAGACTTCGGGGTAATGGCACATCATTCTCCTTGCAAGATCAAATGAGTAATGAGCAGTTCATTTCTGACTCAGGGACTTCTGTTGTTTCCTGTTTGGTTTAACGTATGCAGGTATCTTAGAAACAGATGCAATATTATTTCAGTTCTTTGGAGGTGGCTGGACGTGATGTTTTTTCTTGTAAACCAGGTGTTTCACCTTATCCAAATTTCTGGCATTTCAGGAAAAACTTCATATCTCCATTTTCCTTTCTTTAACTTAGAGATGGTATCAGCCTATCAAATGTAAGAGAATGCTCTATACTGACAATTAATTAAACAAACGAACATAGTAAAAGCTTTCCAAAGAACCGAGAAATCATGCTAACTGTGTTCATGAGTCAATTGGTTGAGTTTCACTGAAATGTAGCCACTTTAAATCCCTTTTGGTATAAATTGGAGATTAAATAGACAAAGAGATAAACTAAATAATGAACACAATCTTGCTGATTCCATCAATGTGTAGTGAATATGCATATATGTGTATATGATTTGTAATTAATATGAAGAGTGGACTGGATGAATTGCATACTCTAAATTTTCATTGATACGTTGGGTGACATTGTATAGGGGCATGAAGCACCCCTAATTAGCTCTGCATGAAGTTCTTCAAGGGAAAAATTCATCTACAAAGATTTTGTGACAACATTGACCTGGGACTTCAGAAAGCTCATTCAAGCCACCAGAGAAGTAAACCGCACACAGGGGTTAGGTAATACAACTGTCAGCCTCAGCCCTCTTCCAGATCATATTCCTCTCCTTTCATTGTCTTTAACTGTGGGAACATTCTGGAAAAGGAAGTGAAAGGCCATGTTCATAGAACAGAGCCAATGATTCTCTTTGATATCTCCTAAGTCCCCTTGTATTACAAGCCTTTAGCACAAAGGTTGCTTCAATAAGATTACTCAGTATAAGACCAACAGGGTCTAAGAATCTAATGTATAACGTGACTATCTCTGATAACACCATATTGCAGAATTGAAATTCAACCTTATTTAATATATACATAAGTATACAATATCTACATACATCAAATCATCACATTGTATACTTTAAATACCTTACAATCAATTATACCTCAATAAACCTGGCAGGGAAAAAAAAGAAGTCTACTGAGGTTGATATTACTTCAAAACAACAAGAAATAGAGCCCCACTAACCCACGGCCTGTAGCTAAGTACACCGTGTATTCTTAGCCTCCCAGGCCATACCTCCTTCTCCACCACAGAAAGGGCCTCTTCAGTGATCTGATTACAACTAATTTGACACCTTTTCTAATTTTATCCCCTCTAGGAAAGGAATTCCTACACTTTCTTATCCATCTGCCAAAATGTACGCACACACATGTGCATGCACACACACACACACACACAAACACAGCCCCTTGCCTTGTGTAGAGAGTAAACATTTAAATTTCTTAAGTGTTCTTTCTTATTTTCTGTATTCTTACAAAAATTTTTAAAAATTTAATTTAAAAATATTTTTAAAAGAGTAAAACTTTTAGAGCATGCCAAAGCAGCAGTATATTTGCAGGGTTACATAGGAATTGCTGATGTTAATGATGTGGATCTGATAATCCACACATCTCTCTACCTGTGCCCAAGAAGGGTGATTTCAACTACAGCACTTCAGATAATTTTTGTTGTCCAGGAATTAACAGTTCTGAGCCCATAACCAGCACTCAGCAGATAATACAAAGAAACAACAACAAAAAAACATACAGAAAATGAACGCCTAGGACATTTCTACCCCAGGATGGACTGTTCAGGCCTTCTCGTGGCATGCTGACCCTAGCGTCTGACAGCGTTTCTCCTCTGATGGGGCCCACTTGCCCTCAAGAAGACCCCTGGTCTGCCTTGTGTTATGGATTGTCATGTATCAGGCCCACACACCTTTAGGCCTCTCTCTGTCAGGTTCTGCATTGCTTCTCCAGGAAGCTTTTCCTGACCATGGTTTCCAAAGGCCACTCCAAGTGTCCCCATGTTCTGTTCTATGTATATGTTCTGTTACAATTTGGGGGCATTTTCTTACCACACCATACTGTAATTGGATCTCTCTTCTCTGTACTTTCCAGTAGACTATAACCTCCCCCAGGGCAGAGTGTCTTTCCTCCTTTTTCCCTTGTATCTCCAGCAAATAGCGGAGTGCCGGGCAATGGCTGGTGTTCTCCCTCTATCTGTTAAATGAATGATTGCATGCTAGCTGTAGAGCAGGGTGGCAGGGCTTCCATCAGAGGTACTGCTAACAGGGATTCCAAGAGGGGACAGAAGGACTTAGGTGACATGAGTAAAATCCACACTTCTAAAGAGACTCAAGTGACTCCCGAGGTATTGGAACCTACCTACATACATTGCAATTTTAAATTAGCATTTTACCATTCTGACTTTTATACTTAGAAAGCAACAGCCAAAATCATAGCTGTACCATGAGAGGGTGTGCACCCACTGAAAGATGGACTGGCCCAAGTGACAAGATGTTCCTGAAAACAAGTGTAACACCATTTGCATTTGAAAATCTGCCACTTGGGGTACAGAATTTGGTGGGAGCCAAACCTTTCTTCAGGAAGGAAGCAGAGATGGGAGCTGAAAGAAGGTAAGAGTGGAGGAGTGTGCATTCATGTGCATCATCTCCTTGGTTCGCAAGGCAAAGTTGCAAAACAACTGGGCTGGTGGAGAACCCCATGGAATCTTACTGAGACAGAGGGGAATAAAAATGCTCCTCATTTCAGTTCAGTGATGACTCAATGGAATATGCAGCTTTAAATGAACCTTGTTTCTCTTCAACTTCATTGGACAAAAAAAAATTATGTTCGTGTTTTAACCAAAATACATCGAATGCCGCCTAAAAAAGGAATGGGAAAAAAAAAAACATTCTTTCCTATCATGCTTATCCAAATGGTCGCTCACTGTTGGAATATGGGGTTAGGTGGTGGGAGGCAGGCTGGTGCAAAGGAGGCAGGAAGAGATCCCAGAGTAACTTGAGGAGACAGACACAGGAAGTATAAACTCCAGTGCGTGCACCACAGATCCTGTATGCCAAGAACCAGCCTGGAAGGGGCGGACTTGGAAGGGTTGATCAGAACAGAGAGATCCAGGTGAGACCAAAAAATGCAGGGAAGTAAATTCTCCTGGCTTTGGAACAGAGCTTATAGGTAAGTGATAAATACATCCAACTTTCCAGGGGAGAAACAAGTTTAAAGAAAATAAGTAGACTTCCAAACTCCTCTAAGACATTATAAGAAGCAATTGTAACATCATACAGATTAGTTTCACTGCCCTAAAAATCCTCTATGCTCCACCTATTCATCCCTCCCTCCTCCCAATCGGTGGCAACCATGGGTCTTTTTACTGTCTGCATAGCTTTCCTAAGGTAATAGAATTGGATCATGCAATACGTAGCCCTTCCAGATTGGCTTCTTCCTCTTAGTAACATACATTTAAGTTTCCTCCACATCTTTTCATGGTGTGATAGCTCATTTATTTTTAGTAATGAATAATATTCCATTCCTGGACATACCACAGTTTATTTATTTATTCACCCATTTGAGGATATTTTGATTGCATCCAAGCTGTGGTAATTGTGAATAAAGCTATTATGAATATCTGTGTGCAGTTTTTATGTGGACAAGAGCTTTTAACTCACTTGGGTAAATACCAGGAAGTGAACCGCTATATTGTATGGTAAGAGTATGTTTACTTTTGTAAGAAACCTCCTACCTGTTTTCCAGGGTGGCTGTACTATTTTGCATTCCCACCAGCAATAAATGAGAGTTCCTGTTGCTCCACAGCCTGGCCAGCACTTGGTATTGTCAATGTGTTGGATATCGGTCACTCCAATAGGTGTGCAGTGCTATTTTGTCGTCGTTTGAATTTGTAATTCTCTAATGACATAGAATTATCGGTCATCATACAAATGCTTATTTCCCAACTGTGTATCTTCTTTGATGAGGTGTCTGTTCAGATCTCTTGCACATTTATTAATGAGTTGTTTGTTTTCTTCTCTTATTGTTGAGTTTTTAAGTGCACTTTGCATATTTTGGTTAACAGTCTTTTAGCAGATATATCTTTTGCAAGTAACTTCTCCCAGTCTGTGGCTCACCTTTTCATTTTCTTGGCAGTGCCTTCCTCAGATATGTTTTACATTTTATATCAATTAACTTTTGCCTCTAAAAGTTAATTTGTGCCTTTCACAAATGTAGCAGGCTATTAGGCACAAGTTTCCCTGTTAACCCAGAATTGGCCCTTAGGGCCCCAATATTGGGACAAAAAGCCAGAGAACTAACTGCAGCCACCGCCTCCTTCAGGCTTACTTAAGAAAGGTAAATGGCTCTGTTGCCCTCGACAGTCAGCCCAAACTGTGCCCTCCTCTCCCCAGCCATGTCTACGCGGAAGATGGGAGTGGAGAGGAGAAGCGGGACGTCATCTAAACAGTGAGGCGGCCTTGAGGCGGGTGGGAAGGAGGGACGCCGCCCGTGTGTCCTCGTCCCCTCACCACCGAGAGCTTCCTGGCGGCTGGGAGCACACCTGCTGGAAGGGGACACCAACACCTCCTTTCCAGCTTCAGCATCTGCATGCGCAGTGGCTTTGCCAGTCACTCCCCAGACGGATTTCAACTGAGGGTAAAAAGAGACAGGGCAAGGGGAAGGCTCGGCCCCGGGGCAGCTCACAGGCTTGTGTCCCTGGGCCAGATGAACTCAGGAAAAATAGCATGGATGTGTTATCTTGCCATATTCCAAGAGTGAGGGCTGGTTGCTGAACAAGCAGACCCCAGTTGCAGGTCTGGTGGGTGTCCACATGGACAAGGTCTTCCTGGAGCAAGAGCTTCCAAATCAATGACTGTGCAGGGTGGAGGCCCCCATGAACCTTCTGAAAACTCTCATGTGGATGCATACCTACGGGGGAGAGGACCTCAGCCACCAGTTCACAGTAACCAGAGAAACAATCAAAATCTTACTTAGAGGAAGGACGAAAACTGCACTAATAAATGTGGGAAACCGGTCCTTTTCTTCTTCCTTCCTCCCCAAACTGTAGGAGCTGAGAAGAAGGAGAAAGAGAGATGGCATCTCCGAGACATACCATACCCCTATCCTTCCATCCTAAAACTTTATATCTAACTTACGATGTCGAAGGGATAGTTTGAAATTGGATTGAGATTGAGTTTTGATAACACTGAATCAGTTGTGTTTTATTTTTGTTTTTGTTTTTTTTATAGAAAACACTGACCAAAAAGATCATGGTATCTGCCCAAGGAAAAGGGAAAGTTGAATAAGCTTAAGTTATTATAAAAGAAAAATGGTTACTTTCATATTTATGCCCCAGGTAAGTTCAGACAAGCCAGTAAACTCAATGCTCAAAGTAAACAAAATAATGCAATATTGCCATTAGGAAAAGTGCTCCATTACAGTGCTCACCAGTGAAAAGTAAGGGAGAAAGACACTATATCTACACTCTGCATTGTATTTGTTTTTTTTAATAATAGGAGACCTTGAATCAAAGAGCAAACTATACAAGATTGTTATGAATGCACTCGGTAGTGCAGACTTATGGTACATTGAAGGAGTAAAACTTGGGTTTTAGAATTAGAAAGACCTAGATTCAAATTCTGACATTGCTATTTGCCACCTCTGTGTCCTCTCAGAATCCTCATGGAAAATGGCCTCATGAATAATGCCTCCTGAGAGTGTTTAGTATAAAGATTAAAGTTGAAATGTGACAAGCATAATACCTAGCAGATGATAGGTGGCCAAAAAATAGTGGAGATGTTAGCATTTTTTTTCTTCATCATTTATTTATTATTGTCATCTGTTATCATGGTTATTTACTGAGAAGATATTTGTAACATCCAGAGAAATAACAGCACTGGTAACAAAACATATTGAAGTTGAAATTTATGTGGAAAAAACAATGAAAAGTTCATAGTTCTGGGTAAATAGAATTTCTCAAAATAACTAACATTTGGCAGTAACTTAGGTTCCCTAGTTTAGGGACTACTTTCCTGGTGAGAAAAACATATGGCTGTTGGGTTTCAGCCCCCCATCTGTGCCTTGTGACAGTGCATCTGGACTAGAGGGGCCTTTTGGCAGCAAAATAAGGCCCAGAGAGGCTAAATGATTCATCTAGGGACTATCTGGTCCCACCTAATGCCCACCTGTCTTTTACATCCCGCATCTATTAACATACTAGCTGTTTCAGACGTAGCATACTTTTAAGTGCCACTAAATTTCATTTTTGTCTTCTAAGAAGGGCACCTAAGTCCTGTTTCCTCCAATTGCCATTCTTCATCTTGGGAGAGTCCCAGGCAACAGCCATATGCGAGCCAGCCTGCCGATTCAGCACAACCTGACATTGCACTGAATTACCAGAAGAGGATTTCATTTCATTACAGTCTGTTTGATTTGTGGTCCCTGCTCTCTTGCTTGACCATTTTCGTCTTCATTCATTTCACTCTCTGTGTGTAGACTGGATGGCAGGCATGGACAAATCCCTGGATTTGATGCATATCACTTCATTCCTTTTCAGAAGTTCTTATAATCATTTCCCTGAGGAAAATCAATTAAACTTTTGACTTAAACACACTATTTAAGGATCAATTATGATTCCAATTCACCGTGCCATCTGGGTTGCTCGTTACCACTCTTGGAAACATTTGTAATGGTGAGAAAGTGTGTCTCCCATCCTCATGTTTATTCATCTTCCAGTCTAAGCTCTATCTTCAGACACTGCCCCTGGACCCAAGAAATAGCCACCTGGTTGGTCCAGCCTTGGCTATGTTACCCCAGACCATTTTCCTGGCCACAGAGAGCTTCTCACTGACATTTCCTTTCTCTCCTCAGCAGAAAAGGTAACATTTCCTAATTGCTTTAGTATGTGCCAATCACTCTGCCTAGGGCACTGCGTGTATTATTTCTTTAAACCCCATGGGGTAGACAATATGGTTCACCTCTTTTCAACCAGAATCTCAGAGAAGAAAAGCACTATGCATAAAGCCACTGGGGATTCAAACCCAGGTCTGCCCCTTCACCTAAGCTGCCCGTGTGTCTCTCAGAGCCAAGCTCCTGTTGGGTTCTGAACCAACAGTCCTCCCATGAGATAAACAAGCTACAGAAACCCCACACATTGTTCTCAAAAGCCAGATCCTCTCTCCATCTTAAGACTCAGAAACCAGTCCTTAACACTTTTCATACTTAACAGTTTGAGATCCACCGCCCTGTGTCTTTCCTCTTTGACACCATTCACGTCCAGTAACAAAACTTCCCTGCAGAGGATGCCCTGACCTCTGGTGGTCTAACCTGGAAGTGTGACTGCCACGACGGGGATTTGAGAGAGAGCTTGGTGCTCACAGCTCCCCTTTGGGCTGCAACCTATCTGATTTTCAGTGGCCTCTGTCTGAGTTCTGATTACCTTATGCAGGCCTATTTTACAGAAAGCACATAAAAGTACCTAGTTTGCTGACCTTTTTTGTAGCAGTTACAAAAAGATTCTTTTTACAATCAATAAGTGTTTATCAATGGTCTGTTCTTTGCAGATGATACAGAGAGGTGGACAGGGTTCCCTTAGAAAGGCTAGTGTGGATATAGATAATAAATTCTCTCTCATATAATAATAATAAATGCTCTCTCTCTCTCTCTCTCTCTCTCTCTCTCTCTCTCTCTCTCTCTCTCTCTCACACACACACACACACACACACATTTCCATGAGCTGCCTTACCCTGTCTCCACACCAGAATATCAGATTTGAGCTCTAGTCCTTAACCAATTTAAACTTGTCTTCTCACCAGTTCCTTCTTTTCTTTTCTCTTAATAAGAACTTGCCAGACCAATCTCTTCTCTTTTCCCTTCTGCTTGCAATTAACATCCCATTCCTGTGTTTATTGGACCTTTCCAATGACCAAAAATTGTCTGATGTCATAAAATCAACATTTGCCTAGACAAATGACACCCCCACCATCAAATCCACCGACTGTATGATATCAGAAAAAGTAGAGGAGATGTCAAAACAAGAATAACAACAGAGACCTAGTCACCAGCAGAAGTCCAAAATATTTAGGAAAGACCCATGAAAGAGCCAAGCAGCTTGCTTACTCATTAAACACTTGCATGAAGAATTCATAGAAATAATTCCCTCAGTATTTTATTTACCTTAGTTCGTACCACTTCACTGGAACTTGTTTACTGTTTCCCTTCCCCCACATCAAAGAAAACAATGCAAGATGAGAATCAACCCCCACATTTCAAACTCAAATTTACCATAGAACTTTGGCTGGTAAATCTCAGACTGTGATTCCTCCTGGTCTCCAGGCCAGAGCAAAAGGTGTGGTCTAGTCAGCTCCACAGGAATTTGCTGCCCCTTCGGTGCAGCAGGACCTTCCCTTTCTGAAGAGGAAATCTGATCTGACCGTAATTCACACTGCCCTCCTCGTGTTTCCTGGAGGCGGCTCCCCTCTGCTTCTTTCAGGACGTGGACAAACTGTCCAGGATCAAATACCTCACAAGGAGAGGAAAAAACCAACAAGAATTCAGTAATACCCATGTGATTCTCAAGCCCTGAACAAATGGAAAATCAGGGTTCTTCATTCTACAATGAATCAAGTGGAGAAAGAAACCACTTCCTATCTGGAGTAACTCCCAAGCAAATGTTTTACATGTGGCTTTTATGGGGACACTAAGCTTTCAGAATTTCACATACCACTTACTATAATCTAACTACAAATTTTACTCTGCTCGCTTTTGTTTTCAGATTAATAATGAGTTCAATTTAATTGGAAGGAAGTTTCCTTCTGTCAATTTTTTAAAAACAAAATGCAAGCCCTTTAGTTAATTTAATCTTGTTCAACAAAAGCCAGACTTACCTGAGCTTTTTTCTTTGAAGAGAAACAGACCTTGTTTATGTGGTCTATCTTTTTAACAGAAAAGCATGTCAGTTTTTGTCCACAAGACATTCATTTCCAGTCTCTAGAAACAATGTATAGAGAGAGCAAATTTGTCACACATACAGCGAATAAATACATATCATGGAAAAATTTCCACCTGCAGAAAAAATCCTCATGATTTGGTTTGGAAAACAAGTCACTTCAAAGTTGTGGAAAACAGGACCTGTTCCTGCCTTTAAGGCAAGATCTGCTGCCGACGGTCATTCTGGTTGTTCCGCACCTGTAACCTGTAACCAGCTCTCCCTGCATTACTTCGAGATGTTTAGTGGAAATGAGCAGTAGAAGTTAACATATAGTAATCTCAAAAAGAAAAAAAAATTCTTTCTTGAATTTGTTCATAAAGGACAGCCTTTCTTAATAGAAAACAGATGTTTCCCAAATCACATTTGAATTATTGAGTTCCTAAAAATAAAGACAATTTTTATAATAATAAATCCATTGGAAAACATTGCAGCCTGTAATTATCTATTGTGGGATAGAATCTCTTTATTTCCCATCATCAAATACAAAAAAATAATTTTAGGGAAAGCAGTTATAATAGTGTAAATTTTTAACCATGTATGAGAAATCTGGCTTGTCTTATGAGTTCCTTCTAATAAAACTATGATATTACTACCAGCTACTAGTCAAGGTTTTATATGATTATATAAAACCATATATACACTTTAGAAACCAGCTGCTTTGGTTTATTCTCCCAAGCACCTATGTGACACCCTCTCTCTTTTACAATCTAGTTTGATGTATCCGGACAAATCAGCCTATCTGTCCCAATAGCTTCTTCCGTGCTGGCCAAGAACCTCATCCCTTTATACGCCAATTACCTTAAGAGTCCTTAGGATCGGCCCAAATTCCATTTCCCCAGAGTCTCTTAAGAGGCCTTACAGGGGTATTCCCAGTGTTTTCTCTGTCCCTACCTTTCCCGTTGGGCTAGAAGTGGCTGGAAGAAAGCAGTCAGAGTGGTGGGGCTGCCCTCTGGGAGATCCGGGTCCGGCCAGGCCTGGGGGAGGGCACAGTGCTGGCAGCTGGAGGAAGAGAAGGAAGAATAATCTGTGTGCCCCTGCAAACATGGCACAGTGCCAACTCAAACACCACTCTTTCTCCCAAGGAGTTCAAAGCGCTATGCAAACACTAACTCATGAACCCATGTAGTCATGGAATGATTATTACTTCATTATGTCCTTAAGATAATCACTGCAAGCGAAGTCAAGAGGAATAGGAGTCTACTCATTGTTCTGTCATTGCTCAGACACTTACTGAGCTCCTGCTGCGTGCGGGGCACTGGAGGTAGAGGAGCAGACAAGACAGACAGAGGCTGGGTTCCTAGACTGCCATCTAGTCCATGCCCTCGTGCTTGCCCAGCTGGGACACTAAGCGCTTGGCTACGCTACTTAGTATACTTATTTGCACTTTATTTTTTCGCCAAATTGTTCAATGCAATGTGCTCGGTTCTTCAGAAGGCCCATAAAGTGCTAAGTGCTGAGCAAACACACAGAAGAAAAAATTTTAAGTTACCTGTAAATCTCATTGCAATGATAGGAATTGGGGAAAATCAATTCAAAGTGCTTTCTTTTAAGATGCCATAAACAAAGCTTTATTGTGAGCATTCCTGTCCCATACAACGTTAGTGGAATTACGATAGGTGGACAAGGAGAGTTAAGACCAGTAATACATGCCAAGCCGTTTACATAAACAATCTGGCTTTTAAAAAATGATTAATCAGATGAGCAAGCATGTTTGGTGAGGAAGAGCGCCTTTATCCATGGATCTAATTCTGACCTCGCTTTAATTTTATGTGACAAAATGGCAGGAGCATATGGTTATCTAAGTCCAATAGGACAAAAGAAACTGGTGTCTGCTTTTTAAAAATGCATGACTTTCTGATCAATCATAAAGGATTTAACCTGTTGTGTTTTTAAGATGCGAGGTAAGGATTTCTAGTCTGTTCTGGGAGTTACTAGCCCAACCCAGTTTAGGCACAACCAGTTTAGAGGCTGCTTCAGTTCTCACTCAGCAACTTGCACATATTTTGAAAGTCGTAGGGAATTATACCACTTAAAACCCAGCTTCCTTCCCTAATAACCACTTCCCTGACTAAACAGAATATAATAGAGGTATAATATCGACCTGCTGCTCAAGTGCATTGGTTAACATGCATACCAGTGAAATTCAAGCTCTCTGTCTTAGCAGATAAATAGCATCTTCATGTGGCCCCAAACTACCTTTCCAAGCCTCAGCCTCAGTCTCCCTATTTCCCTAGCCACAGCACAGATTTCCATAACTATATCATGATTATCTGGCACCTTCTGCCTTTAAGCTGCTCCCTGGCCCACTCCAATACACACACACACACACACACACAAACTCATACACAAGCACACACACATGCACACATGGATATACACTTTGCCCACCTGGAACATTGTTCCTTCTTCAAGATCTTCAGCTGACTTCTAATTATTTTTTCCTCCATTCTCATGCCACTAGTTCATCATATATTTATTTATATAGATATCTAACTAAAGCCTGAACAAGTCATGTATAAAGATCGTATCTTATTCCTTTGTAACTTAGCAACTAGTATTCAATCTTTATTGGAATTGAATTTTCTATAAAACATCAATATAGCACCTATTGAGACTGGCAAGGGGATCAATTACACTTGAATTTACTTCTGCTGGAAGCATAAATGAGATTTTTTTTCTCCCCTCCCTTAATAAATGGGATGTTTTAAAACCTTTTATTAAGCAGAGCTTCTGAGAACAAAATCAAGTAAATAAATTACTAAGTTAAAAACATCTATTATTCTTTATTAAAGAGCTTCTACATTAATATCAATACCACTGTCTTTCAGCTTTTCATGCTTTAGATGACCAATAACTTAAGAGGTGGAAACATATTCTACTCCAGTTACAATATTAACACTGAAGAGAAAGGAGTATGCTTATGGAATTGCTTGTCCCTGTGGGCAAAAAAACAGCTAGGCATGGCCAGCAAATGACAGAATTAGCTGAAACAACCTACTTCTGGTTTCAGATCACACAGAAGGAAAACAGAAGAGAGAGAGAGAGAGAGAAGAACCCAGAACAAAGGGAGTGGATTGCTTTAAAAAATTATCCTTAGAATTCATTTTTGCCGTTTTTTTCTTTATGAAAAAGAGAAATATAAATGCTCTTATAGGTTGCACAGAACATAAAGATAGGCAGTTGAAGATAAATACTATTACAATATAGTATAGAAAATAATATAAAATAGAGATAAATACCACTTAATAAAAAAGTTTTTCTGTATCCAGAACCTCTTAGAAAAATTATTTTTACAGCACCTTACCTTCTTTCAATATGTTTAGGAAGGTTCCTTTCATTCCCTAGATCTGAAATATTGATATGTTTTCTAGTTTTACCTAAAACAAATTTCAGGAAGTCAAAAATTGATCAATGTTGCTTTATACTTCTGGGTGAACCTCTTGTGTGCACTCAGTGTGTATTCTGGTGTGAACCTGTGCACAGCATAGCATGTACATTTAAAACCTCACACTTTTTTTTGTTTGTTTGTTTTTGTTTTTTGAGAGGGCATCTCTCATATTTATTGATCATATGGTTGTTAACAACAATAAAATTCTGTATAGGGGACTCAATGCACAATCATTAATCAACCCCAAGCCTAATTCTCAACAGTCTCCAATCTTCTGAAGCATAACGAACAAATTTTTACATAGTGAACAAGTTCTTACATAGTGAATAAGTTCTTACATGGAGAACAGTGCAAGGGCAGTCATCACAGAAACTTTCAGTTTTGATCACCCATCATGAACTATAAACAATCAGGTCAATTATGATTATTCTAAAACCTCACACTTTTAAAGGGTATAGTAAAATACTTTCACATAGATTATTAGCTTACTCAATCCTAAGAGAAACCTTTTAAAGTGGATATGACACCTTACAAATGAAGATACTGAGTCTCAGAGAGATTTAGTATATTACAGAATTACTATACTCAAGCAATTAATACATAAACTATGAGGTTATTTCTTTCACATCATACTAAGTGAAAACTTTAAAAATTATTAAAGATGTAGCTTTGATTCTTTGCATTTCTTTTTAAGTGCCTGCACTGTATATTTTGCATCCCAGTTTACTGAGATGCATACATATGATACACAGCGATTTTTTCCGCCCAGATACCTAGGAATCTCCTAAGAATCCAGATGTCATTTAGGGGATGCATTCCCTGATTCATTAGACCTAATCAACATGCAAGCAAATATTTGTTTTCAGAGAAAACCCAAAGGTTTCCATCTTAATTCTTAAACAGGCAATGCAAATTCATTTTATTCTGTCAAAGCCAGCAGAGGGCAGGATACTCCCACCAACAGGCTGCTGGCTGGCACCACCACTAAACCCACACAACTACCTAGAGGAGAGTGTTTCAGCATTAGAGCAATCATCATTTCCTCCCCGGCATCTGCAAAAGGGGGTAGGCTTGAGCTGAGAATAGCGCCTGTAGGATGTGGCCTGAGAAATGTCAGGAAAACTTTCGCTTTGGAGGTGCCCACATTTTGTTTGGGATTTGATCTTTAGATAACTGGAAACTAGTCAGTTCCAAATATCTTCCTGGAATATCTTGCTGAGGAGGCTACACTAGGGAATTAACTTAAGGTAGGGCATGATCATTTCTGTTTCTGGTTTTAGGCCATCCTGGGACACAGCTGGGCTATTACTCTCAGATGCCCTGTCTTGGGTACCGCACCTCAGTCCATCCAGCACCAACTATATTTCTCTCTGTCCTTCAAAATTTCTAAGGGCACCCCCTTGCATGACCTCCTCTGTGTGACATCACTGCACAGCCCCGGTGATAAGGGGTCATGACCTCCTGCCCACGAATTCAGATCTGCTGTCCCTCTCTAGG